ACTGTGAAATAACCAAGATAGAGTTCCACGCTGCAAGTCTCTCCACCTTTTTGTACCATGGAACATACATACCTATTGCCCTCCGTCATGCTTCCAAACTGGAAAAATGCAAAGATTTCGCTCCGCGGTGCAGTTTTTCAGCATGCTGCCGCGTCACTCCTCGACAGGCTTCCAGATGTACAAAATCTAACACTGGATTTTAATTCTACATCTAGAGGTATTTCATTCCGAGGATATTCAAGTTAGGGTTTAGCGTGTGCAACTCATTTGTGTAGTAGTAATAATAACCTCTGCTTTTATCTTTCAGACCCGATGGACATTAAATAGTCCTCGCGTGTTTTCTCGGCTCAGGCATGTGCAGATAATGTTGATGATATCTTATGAAGATCATGATAAAATTCTCTACATTGTTTCGTTTCTAATGGTTGCTCCGCTTATTGAAAGGCTGGAAGTACATGTAAGTAATATTCCCGAACTGGATCCTCTTTTGCCACATAGTATTATTTTCAACCTGCATGCAGATGGTAATTAACCAGATACCCCATGTTACATGCATCTTGAATGGTATTTCGTTCCAGCATTGTTTCTCTCTGTGCTGAATTCAAATACCATCGTATATGTACTTTTTTTGCAGTTTCATGGGATTGCTACTATGTGGTTTGCAAATGAGGGACCTTTCAGACAAGAGGTCCCGCCATCTGAATACACGCATCTGAAGAACATCCGTGTCACGGGTTTCAGGGGTGAGAGAGGCCAAGTTGAATTCCTTATGCACGTTGTGGAGAATGCCCCTGTGTTACAGGTTGTGACTATGGATACAACTCAAAGACTGAGTGATGCTTTTTTTTAAACCGGGAATTACCCCTTTCCATTACTCTCATAACGGAAATAACATTAGTTTAAAAGATCCAGGAAACCTAGAAAGGGGAAGCGGGTTCAATGCATCACTGGGAAACCCACGATGGGCACCCGTCATCGGGCAGCCCACCTTGGGGCGAAAACCCAGTGACACCTACGAAGCTACGACCAGAAAAGTTCAGCCATTACAAGCCTGATTCAGATAGGCCACCCACACAAAAGCTCGCGCAGGAGCATGAACCACTCACATAACCAAACTAGTCTTTCACCAAAATGCCAACTTCATGCGCCATGACCGGGATACAGGAGCCAAAAGAAGCGCATGCGGAGAAGAAGAAGCACTGCCTCCCGCCCTTGGCCACCTGAACTTCAACTTTCACCCGCTCCGCGTCGCATCTCTCGGTGTTGCACAGATTCTCATCATGTTTGTGGCGTTGATCCTCAGCATCTTCGATCCATGCTCCATCACCTCCCGATCTTCACCCGACAGCAGACCTGCCCAATAAGATATGTATCCACAAGCAGAATATATCACCTCAAAAGGAGACTTCAAATCCTTGAATTCGAAGATTCTTTTGTTACGACAGTTCCACATCGCCCTACATAACGCAGCCAGGCCAAACGTGTAAAACCTCTCACCATCAGGGAGGTAACAATGACACCAAGCAAAGTATTGCCACAAGTTGTTAGGGCAACACTCAGTGCCCAAAACACACCCCACTGTTCTCCACATAACTCTAGCGACATGGCAGGTAAAGAAGAGGTGCTGAGAGGTTTCTCTGCCATCACAGAAGGCGCACACCGGCCTTCCCAGCCACCCGCGTCTGCACATTACATCCCTGGTCAGGACAGAATCCTGAAACAATTGCCAAAAAAAAATCTGTTTTTTTAGGGGAATTTTTGCTCTCCAAATCCATCTAAAGTTGCATCCAGCTAGGGGTCTCTCCAAATATTCATAAACGGATTTTGTGGTAAATTTCTTCTTCTTCCCCATGGACCAAACAACCTGATCTGGATCGTTAGATAGGGGCCAGCCCCGCACCTTATCTCGCATATCCCTCCATTGTTCGAGAAGTGTGGGGTTGAGACTTCTTCTAAAGAAGTTCACCTCCACATTCTCCCTGAACTTAGCCACCATTATCTCTTGATTATCACATATGCTGAACAGAACAGGAAACTGGACATATAGCGGTTGCTCATCGCCAAAAGGATCCAACCACAATCCGGCAAGATTGCCAGAGTTCAAGATTACTTTTCTGCCAATCATATAGTGCTCCTTAACTTTCATGATAGCTTTCCAGATGTGAGAGTCCCCAAATCTGGTCTTAATGGATGCCACCGTATCCTTTTTGAAATATTTTGCCCGGATCACCTCCTGCCAAAGCCCATTCCGGGTCTCTAACTTCCACCACCACTTGGTGAGCAGACTTATATTCTGTTTACGTAAATCTTTCACCCCCAGGCCCCCTTCTCTTTCGATCGACAAATTCTGGACCATTTGACCAGGTGATACCGCTTGCGTCCGTCATGTTCTTGCCAGAAAAAGCGCTTGCGATGTTTATCCAGTTTACTAATCACTCCCTTAGCTAGTAGGAACATGGACATGTAGAAGTACACAATGCTAGTTAAAGAGGAGTTAAGGAGAATGAGACGCCCTCCCGAGGAGGCTGCATTGCCAATCCACGATTCACAACACTTGAGGAATCTTTCATCCACAAAATCCCAATGCTAGTTAAAGACCGAGTGATGGTTGGTATCCAGATGAAGTGAAGCCAGAACTCAATAGTGATGCGCTTGATATTGTTAGAGGCCCTCTGCTCGAGAGACTCCTGTCGGGTGCAAAGCTTTCTCTCGCTTAAGGTAGCGAGAGATCAACGTTCCGAGAGCTGTGGAAGGACATCGTCTTCAACCAGACAGCAGCGGCCTTGGGGAGACCGGCCCATGCATGGTCGTGTTCTTCGGAGCGGAGGCTGGGCTTCTTCGTATCGATCTTGAGGCCTTCTCTTTCGGTCATCGAGCGGGTAGATGTTGTTAGATGAGTTGTTCTATACGAGGTGCACCATTGCTGCGTTTATAGCATGATAACGTTTGTGTTGGATGGATTTTGTTCCTGTGCTGTACAAGTAGCAGATTTAATGTTGTTCTTTGGTACACCTTTTCAAGTGTTTGAATTGCCAATTTGGGGACAAATTCGTTTTTGTTTTTACGAGGAAAATACGTCAGGTCCAGAGTGCTTCGTCACCCGGCCGATTACAACACGCACCATCCACCGCTTCAGTCATAACCACATAACCAATCCAATTGCAAATTAACTGTCGCGAAAATTCAGTCATAACCACATAAGAGATCTCATAACAGAAATTAAACTCGTTGCCTTTGGATAGATTCATAGTGTATGAGTCAACCTCTTCCAGTCTCTTCTCTCAAAAGGAGACCTGAAAAATATCATCACATGAACATCGATCCCAAGAACAAATGGAAAGGAAGGGGCCACTCACCAGTGGAAACCACGGCTAGGTCTGGGTTTTGGCGGGCAAAGAGACACTACAAGAGGAAGGAGGTGGACACGGAAAATATGGCGCTTCTCGCTGCCGCCGCCACCACTGAAAAGGAGCTTGTACGGATGGGTCTTGCATTGCCTTCTCATCTCCACCAACATAGTATCAGCACAACTTCTTCAACAGAAGGCATGTGAGCAGAAGGAACATAGTGAAGGTAAGGTGATTTTACCTGGAATTTGTACGAAGACCCTTGGCCTCCCTGCATCGATATTCCTACGCACCTGGTACGTTGTCTATGGGTGAAGTATACCTAGCCATCCCTCGGGCCGGGCCAACCAAAGCCCGACGCAAAAAACCCAGGCATGAGCCCGGCCTGGCCCGGCTGTCGGGCCTAAAAATCAGGCCTGAGCCCGGCCCATCATGCTAAAAGCCTGTTGGGCCTCGGGCCATGGGCCGGGCCTCTTACTTAAACGACAAAAACGACGGGCCCGGCCCCGGCCCAGGCTTCGGGCTCAAAACCTAGGCCCAAGCCCGGCCCATGGTCAAGGTCGGGTCGGGCCGACCAGGCCGGGCTGCCCATGGCCAGGACTAGGGTGAAGCCTCGGGCATGGGGAGTTGGGGACACCGTGATGACGTCGAGCAGACCTAGGGCGGACGCTGTAGCAGAGGTCATGATGTGAGAGGAGAGTTATGGGGGACTGAAGCAACAACATTTGCTTCTCCTTCTCTCCATCATCGCACTCGGCAAGTGAGTCCAGTCGGCGGCGAGCGACTGCTCACCCAGTCACCTGGGACTGCCAATAAACACAGAAAGATGGAAAGTTAGGGTTAGTCGTTCCGTTCGTGGGCTTCACACGGAAGAAGGCCCAATCAACCACCAGCTTTAGATTTTTCTATTGTAGCAGCAGCCCCTTAGGACAGCCATCCAACCGCCAAAAATGATCGGGACCCGAGATCTGACGATGAAAATCGTTTAGTGCGTGAGAGGGCTAGCTTTTGGCTCGGTTTTCTACTGTCCTAGATAAGATATAAGAGTAGTAATTGTGTACGTGCACTCATGTCCTATTTGACAGTAATACTATTTCCACGTTTATCTGCAATTAATGTTGATTCCAAGATTAGTTGTGCTTAATGCAAATTAATGTCGTTTTAAAATTACGATCTGTGTAATTAACATATTTCCAAATTATTGATTATGTGATGTATCCATCATTCGTGTAGGGTGAGACGCTGGATATAGGTGGTTGGATGGCTCAGTTCATTTGGATTCACCAAACTCAAGCTTTTATAAATAACATTCCCTCCGTTTCTAAATATAGGACTTTTTAGATATTTCAATACAAACTACATACAGATGTATATAGACATATTTTAGAGTGTGGATCCACTCATTTGCTCCGTATGCAGTCCTTATTGGAATCTCTATAAAAAACTTATATTTAGGAAGGGAGGGAGTAGTAGTGAAATCAAACATAAGAAGACAAATAGAGGGAAATGAGAAATACAATCAATAGTTGTTATAGTAGTTGAGGTAGCGGTGAATCAAATGAAAGAAGACATCATTGGATACATGTGCACTAGTTTGCTTTTTCAGATAGACTCCATTAAATTATTTTCATCATATTATTCCCACGTTTCATACTAATTTTTCACTGGGTAAAACGCTTCCATCAGTATGCCACACAAGCCCTCCTTGGTAGGACCAGCTCCACGTGCCATACGGATGTAGCCATTTTCACCCCATTTTAACCCCCATGAGTTCTTTATGATCCAGTAATCTATGCGTCTCTTGGGGTCATGGTCATCGGTGGTGCCGTAGCCCACCACCAACATTGAGTGGGTCCGATCCGTACCACATGGACCCACAAAGACGCCTCCTCCATAGCGCCTGAAGGCGTTCGGGTCAACCACCACAACAACGGGTTGGTCTGCCACCGCCTGCATCAATGCCACCTCATCCTTTTGCGGCACCTCTTTGATGCCATCGATGGTGACGACAGGGTTACGTTTCGACACCAAGCAGTAGCTATGCTTATAGGCAACGTATGGGTAGCTAGCCTCTGTGGTGATGCCCCCGTGGTTATAAATGTATTTTAAGGCCACTAGTGCGCCGCCGCCAACACAACCAGTACTTCCCTTGTCGCAGTCTACGAGTTGTTGCGCAGACAATGACACCAGGTTCCTCATCCTGATGGAGTTGATGCCCTCCACTGCTGCTGCCGCCGCAAAAGCCCAGCAAGACCCACACCCTCCTTGTCTCTTCACACTCGTCACAGCCGACGGACGTTGGTCGTAGCCTGTCATGCGCCAGTCCACATACATTGGTAAGTTGTCACACGCGACAACAACTCCGTGTGTGAACTGGTCTTGGCTCCGCTTCCCGCCGTCCGGCCTAATGTTGGAGCAGCGACCATACATGTGGTCGACCTCTTCATCGGTCATGTCGCCGAAGAGGTTGAGGCTCAGCTTGTAGGGTGCGTCACCTTGGTTGAATTCATGGATCATGCGAGCGTTCTTCTTGAACACTTTGAAGCGCCGGGCTTTGTCACCGAGGTCGTCTCTCACATTGTGATGCTTGCACCAGCGCTCATATAGTGCCCATAGGGACTCCTCAGACGCCAAGTCCCTATCTTTGATGTCCATGGCGTGTGTCATCGGCGTAGTGGTAACAAGCACGATGGCCATGAGTAATATCATTACAATTGCTCTTGCCATTGTAAGTACTAAGTGGTTGCTTATAGTGTCTTAGATATCTATTGGGTTGTGTGGAGTGTGCTAGGTAGCTTTGGTCCTCCTTATATAGCAAAATTCTTGTAGTGCACGTGCAGTTTTTGTGTACACCCTTAATTAACTCGGAAATGCTGAAATAGTGGACTGACCCACAGGCAAGGTCGCCACTAGAAGATTTTGAGCTAGACGGTGAATCTAGCAGTAATTATTCGAGATACTTGTGCATATCTAGAACATATATCTTTCTATCTCTATCTATATTTATATCTGTATCTATCTATATTTATCTATATCTATCTATACTAGTCGTCAACCCGTGCATCCGCACGGCCTAGCTAATTCATGTGCATTTCTTATTGAAATAAATATGTGACAACCTATATTTTGTTTGTAATGATAGAACTATTTTTTTGTGATACACATTTGAATTCATTTTGGGATGCCCGTTTGAAATATTTGGGGAGATGTAATAGCCTGCAGCATTTGAAGGAAAAGGGATAAAATTTCTCCAAAGATTTTGCAAAATATGATTTCCACGTCTTTATGTGTTTCATAGTCTTAAAGGAGCATGCACTTCATAAGTAAACTCAGCACATGAAAAATAATAATCTGTAAACCAAATGTGAAATGTTGCCTCATCAAATTTGCTAAGACAATAATGTTGGACAACATTCAGTTACTAATTTATTATATGCAGGATGTTTAGAAAGTATATTGTAGATATGTTTTTTATAAATTAATTCAGATAAAAAAGTTTGTTATATATCTATGACACATTTGTATATGGCATATATAGTCTGCATGTGCATGTGATCTTTGTGACAGATAATACTCAACGTAATATTCTCATGGAATTCCTATACTTGATGATGTTTTAAAAAACACACATCTCTGCTAGTTATAAGTCCAGCATAAGATAAAGACATTGATGGCACTATATTACTTAATGGAATAATTAATTAATGTACAACTCAGATTTTGTTAAGTCTCATCATGAAAATTATGATAATACTAAGAGAATATTATATCCCAAGTATTTAAGTGTAAGTCAGCAAAATTTACGATTATCTGTAAGAAACATCTCATATGAGTTAATTCTCCTCTCTTCGGCTTTCATGCTCCGAGATATAACTTACGCATATATCAATCGATTTTGCAATCGGAATGTCTCCTTGATGTTAAAGAACTATGTACACATGTACTTAGGTTATTTCCTACTTCCCTAGAGGACCACTTATGAGGAGTAGTAGGCAACACTCTCGACGGTGCAAAATCTAAACTTTTACAGAGAGACTATCATCTACTCCCTCCGTTCCTAAATATTTGTCTTTATAGACATTTCAAATGACTACTACATACGGATGTATGTAAACATATTTTAGAGTGTAGATTCACTTATTTTGCTCCGTATATAGTCACTTGTTGAAATGCCTAGAAAGACAAGTATTTAGGAATGGAGGGAGTATGTTTAATGGATGATGACAATCATGTTTTCCAAGATTGAGGGAAACATGTTCACAGTAGGAGATGACGGATTGGACTATACCTCCTTTTAGATTTATTCTAGCGGTTGATGGAACACTAAAGGTGGCACCGATGGCCTAAAGAATAGATGATGCGGCAAGACAGAGGATTAGGAAGAGCTGCCGTAGGGAGGGATTAGATGATGCGCCATTGGGACGGATGGCAAACTGAAGAAGAATTTTTGCAGCAACATGCTAATGTGTTTTTCTTTCTTTGGATTTGAAATCAATCAGGAGATTTTTTTTTGGAAAGGAAATCAACCGGGAAAGTTGAGCAGACATAAGTGTGGCTTTCAAGAAAGAAAACGTGCTTGTGGGAGAATATGATAGGTCGTTGTACTTTTTTTTGGCTTGAAGTTGTAGCTTATTTCTTTTTAATTCCACTGTAATTCTTTTAAAGGGACGTTGTTCATCTTTTCTTTTGATACATGTGCGTGTGACCTTTTAAAAGAAACAAAACATGCTTGTGGGAGAACATGATAGGACACTGTACATTTTTTGGATGGGATGTTGTAATTTTATGTTCATGCATGATTTTTCTGTCCATGACATTTGATGTAAATTTTTCTAGTAATGTTACAACAACACGATTTCTCATATTACACAAATAGAATCGGTCTAGTTTTAATGAGGTGATTTCACATAATAAAAGAATCGACTGTGAATTTATTTCATAAGGTAGGTTTGAATTTTTTTTGAGCATTTAGACACAATTTTTTTGTGTGCTGCCATTGTCTTTTTTTTTTGTAACATGATGCTCGAACAGTATTTAATTGTACGTGTCTTTTTTTTCAAGCAACATGTATGTTAATGATTTTTTGAACAGGACCGAGACCCCTTCTTTTATGGTGGGGAAATGGGGACGTGGACTCTTTCCCTTTTTTTAAACGGACGTGCTCTTTCCTTTTATTTTAATCACGTGGACTCTTTCCTGATGGTAAAAATTGTGGTTGTGACGTGGCCTCTTCCCTTTTTTTTGTTCAAACGGACATGGACTCTTTCGTTTAAGAAAAAACCAGAGGTGGACTCTTTCCTGATGGTACAAATTGTGGTTCTTGGTGTCGTGTCAGGCTGTCCTTATTTCTTCCAGCAGTGCAACGTAAATCATAGGGTTAAGATAGATCATTATATAGATTGAATGGTTAAGATATTTTTAATTATGTTGATTAATACGAAGGCTTGTTTGGTGCCCCCAATATATATATATATATATATATATATATATATATATATAAATATAAGATTTATCTATCACTAGTAGAAAACAGGCTTTGGTTGGGGCCTGGCCAGCCCATTAGTCCCGATTCTGTCACGAAATGGGACCCATGGGAGGCATTTGTCCTGGTTCGTGTGGACCCTTCTGTTTCGGTTCTAGGCACGAACCGGGACCAATGAGCCTCGCTCCTGGCCCATAGCTATTGGTCCCGGTTCGTGTCTAGAACCGGGACAGAAGGGGAGCCTTTAGTCCCGGTTCCAGCCTCGAACCGGGACCAATGAGGTGGCTATATATACCCCTTGTCCGCGAGCAAAGCACTCCACACTGCTCTGTTTTTTTGGCCGGCGAAGGGAGAGCTTTGTGATGTTCTAGCTCACCTCCTATGCACAGGTGTTCGATGAAATGCCCGAGCCACACTAGTTAAGCTTTCTCCTCTCGAAGCTCGACTTCCAAACTCCATTTTCCCCGAGATTTGTCTAGGTGTAGCGGTTCGTTATGTCCCGTCCCCGTCTTCACCGCCGTCGATCGCCCGCACCGATATCGTCGCCGGCACCACCGTGGTGAACTTGTTCTTATCTTCTTCTAAAAGAAAAAATTCTTCCTTTAGGTAGATACTTGTCTAATTTTCTTATTTTTCTTATTGCTTGTTATTATATAGTGCGATGGTTTTGGTATCCGCCCCCGTCAGCCCTCGTCCTGGCTATGATTCGAATGTGGTATATATATTATCTTTTATAACTATTTGATTCATTTATTGTTTATGACAATTATGCCCATCAAGTTGACATAGATTTTATTTATCTAGGAGGTAGTTGAACCGGGAATTCCAACCGACCCTATTGTCGAGAGGTTAAATTTAGTTGAAGAAGAAAAAAATTATTTGAAGGAAAAAATTAAAAAAATTGAGGAGGAGAAGATGATATTGGAGTTGCATGTTGTGGATGTCGTCGATGATCACAAGATCAAGATGGATGCAATGCAGTTGAAGATTAGAAAGATTAGAAAATATGCCATTCATACAGAGGCTTGGTATCATTATGCAGTTGGATCAATTGTTACTTTGGTTGTGATTATGATTGCATTTATTGTTGCATTGAAAGGTTTTACATAGTTTCAATGTATGGTTTAACTAGATGCTCTAGAGAGCTATATGTTGTTCAATGGGAACTATGTATGTACTTTGGTTTTAATGTGATGATGAACTTCTATTAATTTGCTCACTTATCTATCCATGTGAATCTGTAATGGTTTTTGACACACATAATTATATATAATGCATGCAGATGAACCGACAATGGATGTATGGTGACAGACACACCTCCGAGTACATTAAGGGCTTGCATAATTTTCTCGAAGTGGCTGAGGCAAACAAGCAGAATGGTTTTATGTGTTGTCCATGCCCTAATTGTGGGAATACGAAGTCTTACTCTGACCGGAAAATCCTTCACACCCACCTGCTTTATAAGGGTTTCATGCCACATTATAATGTTTGGACGAAGCACGGAGAAATAGGGGCTATGATGGAAGACAGCGAAGAAGAAGAGGACGATGACAACTATGTGCCCCTTGAATACGGTGATGCCACAACAGGGGAAGCTGCTGAAGATCAAGAGGAACCAGACGATGTGCCCCGCGATGATGATCTCTGCCGGGTCATTGTTGATGCAAGGACACAATGCGAAAGTCAGAAGGAGAAGCTGAAGATTGATCGCATGTTAGAGGATCACAAGAAAGGGTTGTACCCCAATTGCGAAGATGGCAACACAAAGCTCGGTACCATACTGGAATTGATGCAGTGGAAGGCAGAGAATGATGTGCCTGACAAAGGATTTGAGAAGCTACTGAAAATATTGAAGAAGAAGCTTCCAAACGATAACGAATTGCCCGACAGTACGTACGTAGCAAAGAAGGTCGTATGCACTCTAGGATTGGAGGTGCAGAAGATACATGCATGCCCTAATGACTGCATCCTCTACCACGGTGCGTACAAGGATTTGAACACATGCCTGGTATGCGGTGCATTGCGGTATAAGATCAGACGAGATGACCCTGGTGATGTTGATGGCGAGCCCCCCAGGAAGAGGGTTCCTGCGAAAGTGATGTGGTATGCTCCTATAATACCATGGTTGAAACGTCTGTTCATAAACGAAGAGCATGCCAAGTTGATGCGATGGCACAGAGAGGACCGTAAGAAAGACGGGAAGTTGAGAGCACCCGCTGATGGGTCGCAGTAGAGAAAAATCGAG